TGTATCTTCGATCCTGTTTTTAGTTATTTAATAGATCTGCTTATTATTTGTATTCTTACAGAAATTATGTTTTATTTCTAATTGTACATACACGTACACATTTTAACGATAACTTCTGTACTTCTGTAGGTGTCACGTGTTTAAATAAAGGATTGATTGATTGATTGGATTGATTGAAATTCCAAAGAAATTCAGACGCGTGTACAATTCTTTGTCTATAATTATTAGCAAATACTTTATTGTTCAAATGATATGGCAAAAACACTTCTACAATTTTGTGCAAGCAATTGTTCAGCACCATGTTGATTTGTTGAAAGAAAGCTGAGGCAAGTGTTAAAACTTGAATTATAAATTACCGGTAAGTTCAGTTCAAAATCCATTAAAATCCTCATCCTCAGTGTCACTATTAAATAAGTCCATCAACTGTGCATCAAGCACAGGATCCAGAATAGCAGCAGATGTTACCTGTTCGTCGTCACTGATGTTGCATGTCTGAGATGCATCATCATCCATGTCACATCCAATTTCTGCTTTTCTAAAACCATTTTTGATGGACAAAAACGTTTACTGCTTTCCAAGCTCACACAACCAAGTCGCAGACTTCAGCATGGGTGGCCCTCTTCATTTTTCCTGTTTCAGTAAAGGTATGAATTTCCTCTGACATCCACTTCTCCCACTCCTCACGAACATAGTTTTTGAAAAAACAGTCCACAGAAATGTCTAACAGTTGTAACTTTTTTGTAAGGCCACCAGGAATCACTGCAGTGGTTGTTTTGTAAGTGTTTCAAATGCCTTCATTGATGTGTGCACTGAGACCGTGGAAGATAAGTAGCAAAGTTCTATTGAAGAAAGACACTGGTCTGGCACGCCAAACTTTCTCACCCCAGACAGCCATTCCGTCTCTGTCCATCCATGTTTTCTTGTGGCAATGGACCACCGCTCCGTCCGGAAGAATTTCTTTCAGCATTGTTTTGTGCTTGAAGATTACTATAGGCTTGAGCTTCTTCCCTGACTCTGAGCATGCAAGGACAACAGTAACGCCTGTTTTCTCCTGACCGGTGGCAGACACAGATTGGTTTCAGCTCCGGTTGCATCGACAGTTCTGGGAAAAGGAGTATCAAATGACATTGGGACTTCATCCATGTTGAAGACACGATCTCCTTGGATTCCAAGCTCCTCTTTTCTTCGTAAAACAAACCAGTGAAAGTTTGTAACCTTCTCCTCCAAGTCAATGTCAGTTTCTGGCCCACTGTGGTTCTCGCTTGTACAGACAGTGGATGTCAGCGCATGAATCTGCTACACCAGCTCGGACCTCCAACAAAATCAGCAACATTCATTTGCTTTGCTAACTCTCTCGCCTTCAGTTGGATCATGACAGTGGTAACAGCATGGCTATTCTTTTTGGCTGACAATACACCCTTTTAAGGTATTTTCCAGAGTGGGAAACTTTGTTTCACCAGTTCAGCAAGTGCAGTGACATTTTGGTAGTTTTGCCATGACATCCTTTTTCTTTCGCCAGTAGTGAATCACGGAATAATCCATCTCAAACTCTCTTGCTGCTGCTCTATTACCAATTTCACTTGCACAAGCGATTACTCTCAGCTTATACTCAACTGTAAAACTTTGAAGTGAGCATTTCACAGCAGGCATTTTAACTTAACTAGTGACTTGTGGATACACTTATTGCAAATGATCACGGTTTATAATTCTTATTCAGTCAATTACCTTTTTATAGCATGTAGAAGCGCAATGAACTATATCTATTGTTTATTTATCATTAAAATACCTTGAGCATGAAATTAGTTGAGTTTCACACCTATTATTTCAATATTCTATTGATATATGTGGGCTTTCAAACTACTATCAGGCATTTCTTAAAAAAATTGATATCTTCGGTTCTACTGGGCCTAACAAGTCCCTTAAAACGGGAAAATTCTATTGATCTCAAGCTAGTGTTAACTGAAAATTTGTTACTGATGCCCTGGATATCCTTCGATTATTTTTGTCACCACGAAGGTTTTGTTTACAAGTGTGCCAATAAAAATTTGTTCATCAAGCAACTAATTATACAAGAAATAAATTTGAGTCAGTATCATGTTTTCGTGCTGCTTTGTAGCACTCTTAACACAATGAAATTAATTTGAGAGGTGGAAAAGCAGATTCTAAAATTGCCACATAACCTGCACCTCCCTATTACCCACAGTGGCACGTGTTTCAATATAAAGAGCAGTAATTTGTTTTTACTGCAGCATTGTGCAAAAGAAATGCAAACAAAGTCACAAATTTCTTACTTTATTCTAGGGCGACCAAAAAATCATCCCCCTTGCAATAGCCTGTATACATGTATATCAGGGCTGTGGTCTAGCAGCACCCGGTGGCCCCTGGCACCTTACATTTGTTCTTGGGCAACCCAGGAATCTTAGTTTTTCATAAAAAGCAAATGCTGAGCACCCTAGATTTCACAGTTTCTGGGCATTGGGCTCTCTTCAATTTTTCTTAGAGCACAGCCTTGTATTATTATATTTAAAAAATGGATCTAGTACACATCTGTACTTCTGTTTGACATCAGTGTCAATAGTTAAATAGCAAAATCTTAATAGTGTCAATAGTTTAATAGTTAAATAGCAAAATCTTAACCCTCATGGAGAAGCTACTTTCAGTTAATATATACCTTTCAATCAACTTTGTAGTTAGCATGAAAACATCATAAATTGAAATGAGCTGTTCCGTCTTCTCAGTCTGTCCATAAATTTGCTCATGGAAGAAGTTTGTCCTCATGACACTCTTGTGCTATATTATAGAGCTCTGCACATGATCAAAAACATCAAACCAAAATACTGAAAACAATTGATTAGAAAACAGTCTACCTTTACAACTGCTATATGAATGAACAGCTACTCCACTAATCAGCATACGATAATGGATAAGAACTCCCAATGACAAAATCTTCAAAGACAAGTTCATAATACTGCATCTAGAAACATAAGACATGTATATATACATGATTAAGAATTGTCTGCACTTGTTTATACCACTTAATTTATATACCTTAACAACCAAAATAACAAAAAGTCAATATTATTTGAAACGGATCTACAGCAATGACAAGTTGTATATTTGACATCAAGAAATCTACCATAAGCAGACCCCAACTTAAAATAAAACAGCTCAAGTTCCAAATTTTCCCATAGACATTAAATTTTACTACAAATGAACTTGTATATATTCATTCCTTCAACTGCACTATCAAAAGGAGGACACCAAAACTGAGCAATCTTGTGTCAAAAAACCTGGATTGAGCTTCCAACTTGCTAAAAATTTGAATCTTAATTTTTCCATGAAACATGAAACCTGTATTGAGCTGCCAGCTTAATGAAAAATTTGAATCTTAATTTTTCTACCTTTTTTTTTTTTCAAGATTTCAACAGTTATTTTTTTGCCAATAGATTCTACCACTGAAAAACATCCAGATAATGAGTGGGCAGGAGATTATCATAACTCAGACAAAACAGTTTTGCCATTTATTTTTGAACCCTGATTCTCAATGCAATTGTACTCAATATTATCACAGACGAGAAACTGAAAACCGCATGGGATACTTAATCCAAAAACCACTTAGTATTTTTGACAAAACCAAAAACCAAATGCTGAAAAAGGAAAATCTGCAAACCACAATGAACACCAAAACAAATTTTTTGGCCCAAAAACCAAAAAAAAACACCAAAAAATGGCCAAAACCACAAAACTGGAAATCCCAATGCTCCCCTTCCCTATGTTGTCTGGCAAACAATTGTGAGAACAGACAAGCTTATCTTGATACAACAGCAAATTTTGAAGTGTGTGGTAGCTAGTGGGGAAATTACTCTTTGGATCTAGTTGAGACAAGAGCTCAATAGTAGTGATTCATGCAGAACTGGCATCTAGATGATGTAGGCTTAATTCAAAAGAACTAGCCAATCAGATTAGTGTGATTGGAGTCTATGGCCTAGTTCATCAACAATCTGGTCAGTTGAGGTCTCGTGCTCTTACAAGTAAGACGTGATTTTCCACGATCATCTTAAACTCACAGGCAAGGGTCGAATGGTTTGATTACCTAGCTCAAGAACACTAAATTCATATCGTATGTGCAATTAGTACATGAACAGGTTGGTCCATGATTTCCGTATTCCCTGATGGTGGATACTTTCTTCAATATAATTGTTGTATGGAAATCCTGGTGCATTGTGATTGAAGGGATACTTTTGAAAATTGGAAGTGACACTTTCATTTCCAAAAAGTAGAATTATGGGACCAACTTCAGAATACCCGGCCACTTTTGAATATTTACAAATCGATTGATCTCGTGCTTCTGAAGTTGAAATCACAAAACAGTGCGAATCCATCTTCAGTGATATCTCATTTGATATACGATTTAAGAACACGGAATTAAGATATGACCTTTAATTAATTGCAATTTGAATTTCGCTTTCCTGCAGAACGAAGAATGTATCTTTGAATGTGTGGGTTTTATTTAATTTGACGACTACGGGACTAAGGGGGCAGCTTTTTAAAAACGCATAAGTGGCCGGGTATTCTGAAGATGTTCGAAGAGAGTCATGCGCAACAGCTATGAACTAAAGATTTGAAACACCAATACATCTGTCAACGAAGACTTTGTAATCACTTGTTAAATATCGATACAACCCACATGTACTCGTCTCTGTGTTTCAATAAGAGAAAACAAAAATTACTTTCGCAAAGGCGAATGAAAAAGCAACGTTGACCATGTTTTGAACTTACATAATTTCACCTTGATCTTACCTGGTTCTTTCCAATGATTTTGGTATCCAGTTAATCTCCCAATGCTTACATGAGCTATAATATCCAAAGCGTTCGAGTGGCGACTCCAACAAACAAAATCGAAAATCACGTGATCTGGTCACGATGACTGTTGTTGGGTTGGCGTCGTCCAGTTTCTCGGTCGCGTGGGCGATTTTTTTAAAATTTATTATTATTATTATTATTATTNGGCATTTCGACTGGCAATCGTAAACCAGAACTAGAGTAATCACAGCAGCCGATTAGAACAGAGTAATTTCGTAACTCATAATGGCCTGCGGTGTAGGCGTTTTATTAGGGCGAGTTAGCGTTTAGAAGCTCGTGATCGTTGATTCAACCGGTCATGTTTGAGTTGAAGATGGAGGTATAAATTTCTTTCTCTCCCCAACCTTCCGCTGCCATTAAATTAAAAGATGGCGGCTATAATTTTCGCTAAGAAAATACTGAGCACTCGCTCGCCAAAATTACGCCTACTCCGCAGGCTAAACTCATAGACGAGCAAACTGGCTGGAGTTTATTCCTGTACAATTTTTTTTTTCTCTACAGACGGACGAGGAAAAGAGGCGTGGTTTACCGGTTGTGATGCCTGTGTTTGATAAGCAAACATGTAACGTACCGAGATCACAGGTCGGTACAACTTGAATTCACCGTAGCTTGATATTGATGTCGCGCGGCCTTGGACGAGGGAAAGGTGGTAGCCTGGTGCTGGCCACCGCTCTTTGAACCCTGAATATAAGGGCTTAGGTCGGGGTCATCGCGTTGTGTTCGTGTTCAGCGGGGGCAGCATTGGTCAATCTTTGAATGACAAATATCTCTTCCAGAAGGAGTGAACATACTTTTAAAGGCTATTTGTAGTCATTCTTAAACTTCAAACACGACGAGTACATATTAGATCGGAAATAGTGCTGTTCTTGTGAACGCGATTGCCCGAATTGGTACACGTAGCTCAAATTAAGCGCAAATCGTCGCGTCGAATTCCTGTTCTTCAAGACGAACTCTAGTCAGGCCTTAGTATGAAATGTTCGCCTAAGGATTAAGAATTCATTTCCCTGTCAACCGCCAGTTTTTGCACACCCGTCACTTTGCTCGCTCATGTGTAAGATTAAGTGTAAGATTAACAGTTACCAACTGAGCTAACCGCCTCCCGGTTAGCTCAATTGGTAGAGCGCCGGACTGTTGTGCGGGAGGTCGTGAGTTCAAATCCGGCCGGACCTGCACTCAGGGTCTTTAATTAACTGAGAAGAAAGTGCTACCTTCGTAATAATATCTGCAAATGGTTAGACTTTCAAGTCTTCTCGGATAGGGACGAGAAATGGAAGTCCCGTCCCCAGCAGGGTTGGGGTAGGAGACGTTAATTTCCCACACACGAGATTACTGTGTGATGGATGTCCTTCCCGGGGTGGGATGGGTGGGTATAAAAGGGGTTAGGTGTCAATTCGAACGAAAGTTCTGTTCCTTTCTCCTGCCATTCTTGTGGCGAATTAATTAAACTTAAACTAAACTTAAACTTAAATCTAAACTTAAACAGATCTGCCGGAGGCGGAGTTGGAAGTGGCGGGGTTGCTACAACTCTGCCCTCGACGTAAAACCAGCAGAGGCCGGCCGCCCACCATCACGGGTTGTGCCCTAGATGAGGATAGCACCGAGAGGTTTAGGCCTTGGCTACCTCCGGCTGAGGATCCCGACGAAGATGCAGTGAGGAGAATGTTCACTGAAGCAATGAAAGTGGTTCTTCCTTTTATAATGAGAAACCATTTGTACACGGTTTGACGGCCAGATAAAGCTGCAGTCCAAGGGGGGGAGGGGGGGGGCCGATAGGCTTACAACTTACTGGCTTTCTTGCTCAGTTGTTCATGGTATGGTGGGATAGGCAGTTCAAGATCAAGATGGATGAGAACGGGTTGAGGGTGCGGATGTACAAGAGATATCTCGATGACATAAATGTCGTTGTAGATGCTCCCGGTGCAGGCCTTCGGTTTATTGAGAGCGGAAGGTAGGGTTATCCGAGGTGAAGACATCCTTGAACAAGAGCTGGCCATCGAAGCTGATAAAAGATGGATGAATCTGGTGCAGAAGATTGGAAACAGCATTCACCCGTCCATTTCGTTAGAAGTTGATTACCCTTCGCAACATGTAGATGGGAAACTGCCCATCCTTGATTTGAAAGTTTGGGTGGAATCGAGGCGGGTACAGGGTGTGGGAGAAGGAGAGAATAAAGTGAGTGTGTTTTTGCACGAGTTTTATTCTAAGGATGTGGCATCAAAGTGTGTGGTCAATGGCAAGTCAGCCATGTCTTGGAGCTGTAAAAGAACCATACTCACTCAAGAGGTCTTGAGGATATTACGCAACTGCAGCAGGGAGCTTCCTTGAGAAATTGTTGTCGGCCACGTGAACCACATGATGTTGCACCTACAGTACTCTGGCTATAATCAGAAGTTCAGAACGGAGATTGTGCGGTCAGCTAGACGCGAGAGATGAGTGAGCTAGACGCGAGTGGTGAGCAACCCTTGTACAGACCGAGAGAATGGAAGCGGATAGAACGAGATCAGAAGAGAAGAGAAAAGCGGGAATCCTGGTACAGAAAGGGAGGGTTTGACGCGGTGATATTCGTGCCAGCAACTCCAGCCTCGGAGCTGAAAAATCGGTAGATGGAAGAGGTTAAGGGAGCAGGATTCAAGGTCAAAGTGGTCGAGCAGTCTGGTGTGACTCTAAAGCGGATTTTGCAGAGGTCAGACCCGTTCAGAGAAAATCGATGTAACAACATCAACTGTCTGGTCTGCAGCACCGGTGGAAAAGGCCCTTGCCGGAGTACCGGTGTCACTTATGAGCTAGTGTGTCAACTTTGCCGCAGTAGATACATCGGGGAGACGTCATGAAGTGCATACACCTGTGAGAAGGAACATCTGCGAGCTTTGGAACAGAGAGAGCAAAGTTCAGTAATGTGGAGGCATTCATGTGAGAAACATAACAGTAACGTTCCAGGGTTCACAATGAATGTCACGGGAGTGTTTCAGGGTGACGCTATGCTGAGACAGATTTCAGAGTCAGTCCAGATCAATAAGGTTCAACAAGATCAATTGATAAACATGAAGAGCGAGTGGAATTATTTCAGGATCCCTAGGGCTGTTGTCACACAATCGTGAATGAGGCTACGAACATTTCATCATGTGACTATTGCACAGTGAAACTGAGTTCTAGTCTGTTGTAATTAATTTACATATGGTGAACGATCCTCGCAGTAGATAGCGCTATTTAAGCAATAGCGAAAATCAGACCTGAAAAAAAATCAGGCCTGTACGGGATTCTCGTACAGGCCTGATTTTTTTTTTTTTTTTTTTTTTTTT